CTAAAGTTATGAAAGAATATAGAAATTTTTCCTGTATTTTTTTTTTTTAATAAACATTTCCAAGGCCCTCCCTGGTGGCACAGCGGGTTAAAGCACAGCACTGAGAAGCTTGAGCCACTTCGGCAAGAGTTCGATTCCTGCCTGTCCCTTTGATTCCCACCTGCCCCGGAGGTGACCACATGGAGCAGCAGACCTCCCCTGACCTGCCCGCTGCTCCCCTCAGCAGTGCACTTCTTCGATCTGCCTGTTCTGCTCCCCACTCTGTCTCTGGGGAATCCTCTCACCCTCCACATCTCTGGCCTTTCCCCCAGTTCTGTATGAATAAATAAATCTTTAATAAAATATAAATAAATAATAAACATTTCCTGATTAACTATAGCTTTCTTTTTAAGACAAGGTAGGTCAGCAGACCATTCTTCATGGACATACTATGAATCTAAGTTTCTCCTGATCAAGTCTGCTCAGGGCATAGCAATGGCTTTCCATTGCAGTGGGTAAACAGGTAATAAGAACTATTCATATAGAGTGTGTAGTCTACATAATATGAGGGGTGACCTCCCCACATCTTGTGATTCCCTCCCCTTTCCTGAAGCTCCAGATCACTATCATTCCTTAGTTCAAGAAAAAACTGTCATTTTGCCTCAATGATGTCAGAATTTACATCCATGTAGAGTCCCCATATATAATTTTTTTTTCTGTTACTTAAAAACCAGCACTGCTGCACATGTAATACCTGAATAACTTTACAGCTTTCCCTCCTCTTTTGAGGTAATCTTAAATGTTCATAAAGTATTATAAAGGCACAAGAAACAAGTTTTAATTGCTCTGTACCCTAAAAAACTACTCAAATATCTTAAAGACTCTTAAGTGCCATAAACCACACTAAGATTAGCTTGACAATTATTTCTTTGACTTATTTTTCCCAAGAAAGTGCTTTTTAAACACAATGTAAAGAAAATCAAGAATGAAACTTTTAACGGTGCATTCCTGATTGCATTTAATCTTTCAGAAAGTAGTTTCTTAACAGTAGCATTTTGTTAGCTGCTATAATTAACTAAACAAATCAAATAACATATAAATCAAGATAAAGGAAAAGAAAGTCACACAGGCGATATCCACATCTGATGAAAACAGGATAAAGACAATATCCAGAAATTCCTAAGAATGCTATAATGATCTCATATCTTATAATAACATTAGAGATTTATGACTAGTCAGATCTAGTTGTGCATATTTCCTATGTTCAACAGTTAAAAACTGATAATAACATCTTAACAATCTTGACATACTGAAATAGTGATTCCTTCCAATAAAAACTGTGGGAAATTCACACAGGGATTGCAAATATGTGTGTGTATATGTACGTGTGTGCGTATGTATTTTAAAGATGGAAAACACTAATTATTTCCAAACTCTTGACTAAAAGGAAATACAGAAATATTAAGGTTTTTTCTTTTTTTTAAAGGACAGAGTATTTCCCCTTCCAGCAGTAGTAACATTTGTTAAATGTTACATTTACACATAAAATATACATTTTATATATCCTAAAGGCTATTGGGAGTGGGGTCAAATTGCTTGTTTTCTTTGAGTCTGCCCAATTTTTTTCAGTACCCAAGTAGAAAAAAAATGTAAATTTCAAAACCCTCAACTCCATACTTAAAGGAAAAATGGGCACAGAAAATAATAATTATGGATACACATTTTTAATACAAATGTTAAAAACCAATCTTTAACATTTGTGCTTTACTCTAAGAATTCAAAAACTATTCAATCCCTAAAAAGTAATAGTCACATCACAATCATACACAAGGGTATTCTTGCTCCTTTAATCTCAATGTTCCAAGGCAAAAGATGTTTAGGGAATACAAATATATCTGAAGGGAGTGAATTTTCAAGAATATAAAGAAGAAAAATGTGAACATTTCAGGAGCTGAACAACCACATTAAATTTAAATTAATGGGTATTTCTAACCATTCTCAGGTTCAGTAGAATTTGGTTCGCAAAGACATTTTAAGACAGTTTATGCCAAAACAGACTAAAAGTGATTATTATTTTTAATTATCCTGAAAGTTGCTCAATGTGAAGCTCATAGTGATGTTTTAAAATATTTGAGAAAAATAAAAAGGTACCTCTCCTTCCTCCAAAAAAGTCCAAGCTGTTTTTACGGAACTGTTAAAACATTAATACATTGCTTTGAGTATTTGCATTCCTTTACTTAAAGTTTATACTTCCAGACAGTAATGTTAGAGTGTTTTATATTATTGTCAACATTCAAAAAAATCCAGATCTGATCTACCCCCTGTTGCTATCTAAGCCGAGTCCACAGGGTTTATTACCGTAGAGTCTGATGTAGAGTCTGGATATAGGTCTTGCACTGCACCTGTGCTCCTTGTCTCTGGTTGGGAAAGGCTGTGGCAACATGAAGCAAGTTTCTGCCTACTGTTAACACCTGCGCCTGCTTCTTGGAGACGATGTAACACCCCTTCTCATTATTGTTCATATATACTCTGTCAGGTAAGTCTTTTTTTTTTTTTTTTTCAGAGCAGTCAATTTTAAATTAAGTTAAAGTATTTTGAAGAGATGTACAAGGAAAGAGCTTAATTCCCAGGAAATAGGTCAAAACAATCATATAAGTAAATTGTTTATTCACAACAAGTGAGCACATTTTATCAAGACATTTGGTATGTAATAAGAAGCAATGACTTATCAGGTAGCTAATTAGCTTCTGAAAAAAATCAATTAATAGATTACATTGTAATCATTATCTAATTGTTCTTACTTCAAGGATTTTAAGTTTGAATTTCAGTTTTTCAGTAAGGAGATTTTTGACAATTTCAGTACTGAGTGTAGTGGCCCCAAAGTATGGCAGCATTCCAGTCTCTAAAGCCTATAAATATAACTTTAGTTATAGAATATATGTTTAAAATGAGGACTGAAAGAGTAAGACTTTACCCTGGATAATGCAGGTGTGTTCTAAATACAATCATAGGAATCCTTGTAAGAGTAAAGCAGAAGCAATTTTGAGAAACAGACACATTCAGAGCAGGGAGACGCAGCAGTCACCACAAGCTCCAAGATTTCATTCTTACAGCCTCTAAAGGAAGGTTGATTCTGTCCACACCTTGATTCCAAACATTTAGCCTCCAGAATTGAACTGTGAGTAAATAAATCTCTGTTGTTTTAAGCTACCAAGTTTATAGTAATTTGTTACAGCTGTCATAGGAAAACTGTTATTTAAAAAATTGTAATCCACAATACAGTAAACCTTTAATCTGTAAATTTAGAAGTAAAAGGGTAACCATAAGTTATAAATAAAATACAACAAGATACAAAGATACAAGATACAAAGATACAGTAAGCCTGACTCTTTAAGACTTGAAGCCCTGATATCCTACAAGAACTTAAACGAACAGTAGTAGATATCACTGAATGATGACAAAGGGAGGCATTTTAAGTAGACGTTTTGCCTAGTCTCTAAATATCAGCCGCAATAATAAAGTGCAACAGGCAAAAGACAGGAAAATAAATTAACCTTTGAAATCATATTAGAAATGACAAATTAGGGCCCTCCGTGATGGCGCGGCGGGTTAAAACGCAGCACTAAGAAGCTAAAATCATTTCCACAAGAGTTCAATCCCCACCTGCCCTGGAGATGACCACATGGTGCAGCAGACCTCTCCTGACCACCCGCTGTTCCCCTCACCAGTGTACTTTGTCAGTTGGCCTGTTCTGCTCCCCACTCTGTCTCTAGTGAAGCCTCTCACTGCCCCTGCACCTCTGGCTTATACCCCAGTTCTGTGTGCATAAGTAAATAAACCTTAAAAAAAAAAAAGACAAATTAAATACAAATAAAAATGCTTGAGAAATACCTGTAAGTAGATGTAACTTCTGAAACTATACATTTCTCAGTATAAAATATCCAACTGTATGATCTACATAAGTGGGCAGAAACATCCAGGAAACACAAAGAGAGTGTTATCTGGAGATTTGTAAATTACACAGGCCACAATACTTGGAAGTGGCCATTGGGGGAAAAAAAAGAAAACAATAAGCCTTTGTGATCTGGCAACCACTTGGTCATTCTGATGCTAAAGAAGAGGAAATAATGAAACACTACAACTTAAGGCATACCTTTAAAATTGTAAAACAGGGATAACAGTCTCTACCTATCATATAGTGTGAACCATGCTTCCCTCATCAGGCTAATGTGAGGATCAGAGGAGGGAGCACAGAGTGCTGCCCTGTGTTTGGGGTCACAGTTTCTCTCCATAAACTGGCTGACTAGAAACTAACAATACTACTTTCTTTTTTTTTAAGATTTATTTATTTGTACACATAGAACTGGGGTACAGGGCATAGGCTCAGGGGCGGTGAGAGGCTTCACCAGAGTCAGAGGGGGGGAACAGAACAGGCAGATCAATGAAATACACTGCTGAGGGAGCAGTGGGCAGGCCAGGAGAGGTCTGCCACACCATGTGGTCACCTCCGGGGCAGGCGGGAATCAAACTCATGCAGAAGTGGCTTTAGCTTCTTAGTGCTGTGCTTTAACCCATTGCGCCACCAGGGAGGGCCCAATACTACTTTCTTTTTTTTTTTTTTTTAAATATTTATTTATTTATTCATACAGAACTGGGGTATAGGCCAGAGATGCAGAGGGTGAGAGGATTCACCAGAGACAGAGTGGGGAGCAGAACAGGCAGATTGACGAAGTACACTGCTGAGGGGAGCAGTGGGCGGGCCAGGAGAGGTCTGCGACGCCATGTGGTCACCTCCGGGGCAGGCGGGAATTGAACTCATGCGGAAGCGGCTTTAGATTCTCAGTGCTGTGCTTTAACCCGCTGCGCCACCAGGGCGGGCCCCAATACTACTTTCTTAATAAAAAATTTCATGGAACAGTTAACTAGATTTAAAAACAAAGTAAACCATGGAAGTAGAAAAACATTTTAAAACAGATAGCCTTTCCCGCCTTCTGAAGACACCTGAGGGTCATAGCACTTACCACATCACTAGCACTGGAGAATTCATTATTAACCAGACTTTCAAGAGCCATCCACCGAACCGGCCTGTTCTCATTATCCCCCAGACAGTGATAGTCCATGGGGAACAAGTCTCTGGAGAGGGCATTGTCTGTGATCTTAACTTGAAGTGTGTCATCAATGCTGAAAAGTAAGATAGGAACATCAAATGGAATGAGTGTTAAAAAATATGGATCACAATTACTCTTAAATAGAAAACAATTCCCTTTGTGATTCCTGGAGAGAACATCAAATCCAGGAAGCCCAAACCATGAAAACAGTGACAAGTTTGTGGCACCTACACACAGTTCCTAGCAGCCAGGTCTTTATGGATGACTTCCCTTCTGGCCAGATAGCTCATTCCACAGGCGATCTGAATAGCCATGTGTACCAGGTCTTGCTGAGAAATTGCCTGTGGTAACAGAAAATAACAAGGTTTGCGGTTAGCATAAAAATTATTATGGCAACTGCTTATTTTATTTCACAATCCTACTCCATCCCAAAAATGCTTCTTTACACTTATACTTTAAATTTCCTAACGGCTACTTCTTAACCAAGAATATACTTCCACAGCTTCCTGACTTTATATGCTTTGGTCCTTATCCCATAATATATTTTATCAATTACCTCACTGTCTCCTCTTCCCCATTAGATGTATCTACCCAAACATCCAGCACATAAAATAAGGAGTTGCTTAGTAACTATCTGTTCAGTGTATGCTTAATTCTCAAATTAAGATTTCAAACACTTACTGCCCAACAACTTATTATTAAAAATAGCAGCTTTTTTATTACTACCCCAAGGACCATTTTCAAACTAATACAAGTCTACAGCTCTCATTCCTGATAATGCTCCTCTTAAGTATGCTAGTGTCATGGGCTGAGGGATGAAAGTTCTTCCCTAGGTGATGCTGGTGTGCCACAGCCTCCAACCACTTCTTTATTAATCTGCTAATTTACAAAGCATGCCACTCATGTATGGTCATATACAATTCAGTCTTCAAATTCATTGTAACTATGAATCCTAAACCAACTTACTGGGCTACAAGTCACAGCAGGGAGCAGAGCAGCCACTAGGCTTAACCATCATCATTACGTGGAGTTCCCAGGTGCTTCCTGTCTATGTGCAAGAGGGAAAGGAACTCTGAGGTGGCTGACTCTTATAGTCAGCACATTAAAAATATAGATGAGGAATCCTGCTAAACTATAGTTACCACCAGTTCTTGATACAGTATTGACCAAATGTCTATTTGCCTGAAGAGAGAGTTAGCATGACTGCCTGTAAAGAGTTATCAGGAAAATGACTGAGATGATGTTAAGAGTATGAGGTTATCATGAATAAATACACAATGGATATACAACGAAAAATTTTAGTGTTAGTAATGAGCCTCAAGATGCAAATCAGACACCAGGTTCCTTTGTCTTGTCCTCTCTGTAGACAGATTACAAATAACTTTTGAGTTTCTTTTTGTCAATCTTTAAACAGTTTGTATTTAAGAATATTAGCATCTATTTCAAAGAGATCAGAAGAGTTAATAACGGCATATTTTTCTCACCTGAGGGTTATTTGCCTCTACTAATTTGCACTGCCGTAAAAACAATTTAAGGTTCCCCCAATTCATGTAGGGCAATACCACCATGGGCTTTTCTCCATCTTCTATACAGACATGGGTAATAGGAAGAAGATTTCTATAAAAATACAAGAAATCAGAAGACAGACAAGTGAAATTTGGAACCTCGAGCTTATTTTTAATAAAAGTAATAGGGATAACCTAAAACAAAAGAAAATAGAAAACATACTTTTTAAACATGACCATGATTAATAATGTAAAATTATAAATGCTCTGTCAAACTAGACTTCAGCACTTCCCAAGTATGCAATATCTTGATAGGAAATAGTCATAAATTCAAAGCTGTTTCCTGTGGACTGGATTTTCTGAAGATAAACTAGAACTACATTAAATCTTTATTTACTCTAAAGGGTAATCAGAGATACCTAAAGAATAACTTGACCATGAATATATTATGTTAATATCCATTTTATCACTCTTAAAAATGAAAAGGCTCCAATGCAGACTGTGGACAAGAACATGATCTGCAGACTGTGGACAAGAACATGATCAAAAAGGCCTCAAAGAAGCAGAAACTGATGGAAAAAAAAAGTCAGAGTCCCTAGCTGGCACATGACTGGGCTTAGGTACTGTAGGATCAGTCTCCCAGAAATTGTTCAGATAGGGTTTTTCCAAGATGCCCAGTGTAAGCTTGGTGTATGGTACCTTTGTGTATGGTAACTAAGGTCAATGAGGTCCTCCTACAGGTCTCCAGTAAAACTGTGATCATCACCTTAAGAACGAAGACAACCCAGACTTAGGGTTATCTCCATAATCATTTTATTGGAGAAACCCAGCTTTAGGTAGCATCTTAAGATAGGACAGGCATGCAGAGGCAAGGTTCTATCACATGACATCATCTCTTCCTTGTCATGTGAGTTCCCCCCACCTCCTCTCTCCTCGACATCCCAGGGTCCTGATCCCATTATTTAGCTTAGGATATAAAACCTCAGTCTGTGCCATTCACTGCAGAATTTTCAACCATGTAAGTTCTCCAGACATAGGAAATTAAATTTGGTCTTTTTCTCCTCCTTGTTTAATATTAATTTGTTTGCTTGACCAGCCAGAAAAGAACCCAGAGGGGTGTAGGAAATTTCCCTTGCCTCCCTCCCTACAGTACCTCAATATTACAATAGATCAATATTACAGTATTAAATACTTCTGACATTTCCCCCAACAAAAAGTACATTTCCGACTGATAATTATCTGATTCTTGCTTTGTTACCCAGAGTAAACAAAATGTTTATTTTTCTTTAGATAATATGGCCTAAGGGCTAAGTTTTCATCTATTCCCTTTACAAATAATGAGTTCTATTCTTACACTGAATTAGGCCAATGGGAGGTAACCACCTTAAATCACACAACTTTAACTCTTCAAAGGTACAGCTTCAGCTTTTCAGGAGTTTGTGTATTCCCCCACCCCGCAAAGGTCTCTGGGATTTTGTTTCTTTTTCCAATGAAAATTAAAAGTATCTTTGCTCTTTATATGGATCAATTTCCCAAGTATAAAATTAACCTAATGAGACATCCGCTTTAGAATTTGAAATTAGAAAAATTTTCCCATCCCCAAGGAACATCTTTATTTTTTTTCTTCCCTCCTCCTTCCACCTTTTTGGACTCATATGCCCCTATTTCTCTTTTTCCTAGTGAGATTTACCAGCTTTTAATGTTTCCTTGAGCCTTGACTGTCCAGAAGCTTAGAGTTGTTTTTATGTCAATCACAGCAAAAATTGCAGTTTCTATCGTTGGCTTTTTAATTTTCTCTTTTGCAATCATGTCATAAGCCTGAGTTTCATTTCCATAGCCATTTTACTAGAGACTGTCTTCTTCCTGGGTTCTCAAATTCTTTTGAATATGCATCGAAGTATATGCAACATTCAAAAATAAAGATCTGTACCGTTATCTTATTTTTTAGAACTAAAGTAACTCCTTGAAGTTCATAGAAATTAAATGCATGATGTCTTCTGAATGCATTACTTCCTTTTTCCCCCAGAAGTCCCATACATACTTTCCAAAGGAATGGTTACTATTTCATTTTTAAACATTAATTCAAAAGGACACCTGCACCCTATATTTACTGCAGCACAATTTACAATATGTAAGATATGGAGTCAACCCAAATGCCCAAAAGTAAATGACTGAATTAAGATGATGTGGTACATAATACACAATGGAATATTACTCAGCAATTAAAAAAGATAAGCTCATGCCATTTGCAGCAACATAGATGGAACTGGAAGGGATCATGCTTAGTGAAATAAGCCAGAAAGAAATAGAAAAATACCAGATGGTTTCACTCATAGGAATTGTTTAAGGGATCGAGGGGAAAAAGTAATTTATAATAAAATAAAAACTAAAATCAACAAAAAGCTATAAACCAGAGACATTCTACAGAGGGAAGAGAGGAATAGGATCAAAACAGAGGTGGGAAGAACACATGGGACTATGATGATGGCACACAGGTGAATTGGTAGTGGAAATTCCACAGTGGTTACAACTGAGATGAAATATGTTGTAAATGAACAACGATATAAAATTTTTTTAAAAGAAGAAAAACCTATTCCTCCCCCCCATAAAAAAAAAAAAATTGACATGTGTGACCAAATTTCAGCAGGCATAAACTAGCTCATTCTATAAAGTGCTTTTTAAAAAGAAAGCTTCCCCCAATTTGATATTGCGGCATACTGTGTGTGATACTATATTAAGCCCATTTTGGCTAGGAAAGTATGTTTTTGTTAGGACCAACAGCAAGTTTTTTTTTTTTTTTAAACCTCTTCAAATAGAACTTTAAATATTTTTCTTTAAATCATAATATGAGCTAATAGTGACATGTTAAATAAAACATGGTGTATCCATTAAATGACTCAATATATAACCTTTAAAAATGTGGACAAGAAATAAAAAATAAAAATAAACTGTGGACAAGAATTTATGGTTACTGAACATTTGGATATAGTGTTTTATCAAGTAGCATGTTCACTCTGTTAATGATACTGATTTTGTGGTTATATATAGAAAAATCTCATTTAAAAAAAAATAAATAAATTGCAATTACATTAAAAATGTTAACATGTCCAATTTACTTTTATTCCTTCTACATACACAAATATATAGATTACAGCTACACATACACACACACCCCAAGCAGAATATCATTGATTTTAGAAGTTTATTGATGTTTATTTACTATTCTTGTCTTTGGTATTCTATATATTCAAAATTTTCAGAACAAATATTTTTATCATTATCTTATTTTTAAAAGGAAATATGCACAAAAATAAGCATAAATGCCTCTCTGGAAAGCCTGGCTACAATTATCCAAATATGGGCTTACATAGTTTGTTTTATACTTTACTGTGTTTTTCAATTTTGGGCAATCAGCATGCTTTTCAATTTTATATTCAGAAAAAAGCCATTCCAAAAATCTTTAAATTCAGAACACATCAGCACAATGTTCTTAAAATAAATAATGTTACCATGCATATCACTTAGAGCTAGTTGTTTTTTTCTCTTACCTGTGATGAAGCCCTCGCAGCTTACAACTTTCAGTGAGCATCATTGTCACCTGAATTTCCGAAGCTTGGTCTATAGATATATATATAAAAAAAAAGATATTGTTTTGAATGGTAGTACTATATGTAATATATTTTCTGCTATTAGTAAATAATTATTTCAGAATGTAATATAAATTTTTATTGAAAGTTACAGGTAAATCTAAATAGGTATAGTCTAAAATTCTATTGTAATAGACAAGTCTCACTGCTGAATGGGCCAGAAGGTATTAATCAAAAATTGACTATATAAATATAAAAGTTAAATATGGATCCAGAAACAAAGTAGAGAAAGTAGTAACAAATTAGAAAAACACCAGCAACACACAGGCAAATAAATGGCTAATTTCCTTTTGTATTTTTAAGCATTTTTAGTTATTTATTTAATCATTTTATTTTTTATCAAGGTAATGTTAATTTATATCACTATATGATTTAAGGTTATAATTTCCTTTTTCAAATCTCCCCTCTTTAGATGGATTACACAAATCAATAAGAAAAAAACATTTGAAAGTGGCTGACAAGAGAAACACAAATGATCAACAAAATTACAAAATGACTTTCAGCTTTACTCCCAAGTACAGAAATGCAAATTAAACTAGGAGATACATATTCCCTATCAGATTGGAAAAGATGAAAATCTGTCCTACCCATAAGTTTGGGCAAGGATAATGAAACAGGTGCATTATAACCCACATTCTCATAAATCCCACTGCTAAAAGACTACAATGTCACAAAATTTCATCTCTATATATCAAGAATATAGTTCAATAATAACAACAAAATGAAAGACACCGTCGTTCCCATCAATAGCGAACTACTTGAGTTAGCATATCAGAATACTTTGAAGCTTTTTTTTTTTAAAAAACTACGACTCACATCTTATAAGTATTGACAGAAGATCTTCAAGGTAAATTTTGAAAGCAAGGTGCCAAACTGTTTTGGTGATTATATATATTTTTTCCAATTATGTTGTGTAACAAGCTTATTTGAAATATTTTTCTTAAAAGATTTATTTATTTATGCATACAAGAACTGAAGTGTAGGCCAGAGGTGGGAGTGTGTGGAGGGGGAGATGAAAAGATTCACCAAAGACAGAGTGGGGTGCAGAACAGGCAGAATGCCTGAAATGTATTGCTGAGGGGAGCAGTGGGTGAGAGGAGAGGTTTGTTGTGCCATGTGGGTCAGCTCCCTGGCTGGGGATCAAACTTACACTGCAATGGTTACTGATAGTTTCATGGTGCTGAGACTTAACTCCTTGTGCCACCAAGGAGGCCCCTTATATGAAAATTTTCATACATATCTTTGGGGAATTTTTTTTCTTACTCATAGAAAGAATCATAAGAAATTTTTTTTTTTTTTTTGGTGATTACTCTCAGAGTTGTGAGAATTTATATTTTGCACTTTCTGTTTGTTTATACTTTCTATACTCACAAATACAACTATTTTAAAAAATAACCACAGGGGTTCTGATTGGTGATTATGGACCACTTATTATTAGTTTCTTCTTACTGCTATGCAGTTAAAATCAAACATAAAATACAAAATATAATTAGAAAACATGTAATGCTGCAATAGTCAAAATTAATTATCTCATTTTTTTCTTGACCATTAAACACACAGTCTTTGGTCCAGAGTTTAAAAAAAAACAAAAACAAAAACTAGAATTGGCTTTTGTTCAATGGTTTTAAAACACAAACATAAAGCAATTTACCAATATCTTTAGTTTGCACCTCCAAAATAACTTTTAGGCCATCAAATATCCAAACAAATCTATGAGGGCTGTTCATGTTATAGGGCCCACTATCTTAATTAAGTTTAAAATTTAAAAATTAAAATAGTATATTTTACACTATTTAAAAAGAACATTCCTATTAAGTGAATAGTATATTTTTCATTTGTGAAATCCTCAAGTTTTTTAAAATTATCTTTAGATATCACAAACAAAATAAGAGTATAGTGTATCCTTAAAAACACTTTCACAGAATAGCTAACCTATACGTCAATAGTAAAAATAGTAATAATTTATAAAGCTTACAGTCAATGCACTAAGAGGAAGAAGGCAACTGGCAAAGCCAAGATTCACATCTTTGACTGCCCCATTAAGGAAACTGCTAAACCAGTGATAAAATCCAGAATTCTGAAATCTGGCTCATGATGATATGTCATATTCACTCCTTAGAAGTGGATCTGTCACAGCTGAGAAATGCAAGTTTCATTTTTCCAAGTTTAACTAATAGAAACACACCTATTCTGCTAATTGCTACTGTTCTTGAGGCTGTTTCACTTACTAAGACTTTTGTAAGAATGTGAAAATGGGGCCCTCTCTGGTGCTGCAGCCGATTAAAGCACAGCACTAAGACACTAACGCCACTTCAGCATGAGTTCAATCCCCGCCCAGGAGGTGACCACATGGCAGGGAAAACCTCCCCTGGCCCGCCCACTGCTCCCCTCAGCAGAGTACTTCGTCCATCTGCCTATTCTGCTCCCTGCTCTGTCTCTGGTGAAGCCTATCACTGAATCTCTGGCTTGTGCCCCAGTTCTGTATGCATAAATAAATAAATCTTTAAAAAAAGAAAAAGAATATGAAAATGGATGGACAAAAAGACAACAACTTCAAGCACTTGATTTTTTTTGGGGGGAAAAAATAAATCACAAAAACATCTGCTGGAATAAATTCTATCTAAAAATGCTTAAAAACAAGGATTATTTAGTAAATGCCAATTGTGCCTTTCATTACTTTCTAGTAATTTGGAAATTATTTTTAATGAAATTATGGCCAGGACTAATTGGAGGTTGTAGATCCTTTTAAGGATTAAAGTCTAGCAATAGTTGAGAGTCTGCTTCAATTTACTAAGAGTTCACTTTACTGTCAAATGACATGGAGACCCAGGGAAAACAAAAGGCAGTTTCAGGATGTATCATTTTGTCTAATTTTTTTCAAGTTCTTATCTTTTATAAGCATATTCTATAAACAAGGGACACTTGAAATGGATGATAGTGATAAGAAAATACTGAAATAGATAACAAAAATAATAGTATCCATTTAGTAAGAAATTAAATCAGGGCCCTCCCTGGTGGCAGCGGGTTAAAGCACAGCACAAAGAAGCTTACTTAAGCCACTTCCGCATGAGTTCGATCCCCACCTGCCCCGGAGGTGACCACATGGCGTGGCAGACCTCTCCTGTCCAGCCCACTGCTCCCCTCAGCAGTGTACTTCGTCCATCTGCCTGTTCTGTACCCCACTCTGTCTGTGGTGAATCCTCTCACCCTCTACATCTCTGGCCTGTACCCCAGTTCTGTACGAATAAATAAATCTTTTTTTAAAAAAAATTATATCAATTTTCCTGGATTCCTTTCCCAGTGTAGTCCTAACTTCTTAATTTTCAATACTGAGAGATCTATCTTCAAGATATATACATTTAAAAAGGATACTATAAAATAATTCGTACTCAAAACATTGTAAGAATGAACAAAATGATTTAAAAAATTATTCCAAAATTACAAAAAAAAAAAAGTTAGCAGGTCTACAAGAAAATAAAAATTTAATTCTAATAACAAACTAATTCATTAATTTTATGGGATTCAATTTCACAGAATTCATGGTGTGATATTCAGATTGCACTGATTCAAAGGTCAGGCACACACTTGAGAATCTATACCACTTTAGACAGGAAACAATGTAGAAACAGTGGAAACAATGTAGAAAAACACCCTACCTTTAACTGTTTTTACAAATGCTTGCTTTTCTTTATTTGGATCTTTTTCATCTACTAAAATCCCATGGAAAATACGGCCGAAAGTACCTAAAAAGAAAAATAATGTTTAATGAAATCATGTGATAGCATTTATAAAATTATAACTACCAAACATTCTGGTGCAATGTAACTTAAACTTAACAAGGGTATATGTGAATAACAACATTACTCTAGTCCTAGCAATGCAAATCTTTGTCTTTTAATGATTATTTGAATGTCTTTGTGACTATTAAATATTCTTGTCTTGCTTTTAAAAAAAAAGATTTATTTATTTATGCATACAGAACTGGGGTACAGGCCAGAGGTGCATACAGAACGGGGGTACAGGCCAGAGGTGCAGGGGCAATGAGAGGCTTCACCAGAGACAGAGTGGGGAGCAGAACAGGCAGATTGACAAGTACAATTGGGAGGGGAGCAGCTGGCGGGTCAGGAAAGGTCTGCCGCGCCATGTGGATCACCTCCGGAGCAGGGATTGAATTCATGCTGAAGTGGCTTTAGCTTTTTAGTGCTATGCTTTAACCCGCTGCGCCACCAGGGAGGGCCTCTTGTCTTGCTTTTAAACTAAGTATATGTGAGTTCTTCTCAATTACCCTAAATAAATGATACAGCCAGGAGCACTGGGGTTTAGTAATGGGATATCTATGGAGACATTTATGAGTTTCTAGGCTTAGATCCAGAGAAATGACAAAGGAGAAAACTGAACTTTCCTCCCTGCTGCTACAAAGCTTTAAAATGTAGCTTCAGGAGAAAGCTAAGGAGTACACATCTCAGACTGAGAAAGTCCCAGGCTCTAATCCTTGCTCTATCAACCACTACTTAAATGGCCTCAGACAGCTGCCTAGCCTCTCAGTTAAGTGATAAAATGTGTCCCAAAAAACCTTTATAGTAAGAAGAAATTATAACATATTGGAGTGAAAGGAGTGATTAAATGTAAATTATGAAAACCATACATACATAATTTTGCAACTTCTATTAAAAAATCTCTAATACAGGCCCTCCTTGGTGGCGCAGCATGTTAAGGCAAAGTACTGAGAAGCTAAAGCCACTTCCTTATGAGTTCGGTTCCCGCCTGCCCCAGAGGTGACCACATGGTGTGGAAGACCTCTCCTGACCCGCCCGCTGCTCCCCTCAGCAGTATACTTGGTCAATCTGCCTGTTCTGCTCCCCACTCTGTCTCTGGTGAAGCCTCTCGCCGCCCCTGAGCCTCTGGCCTGTACCCCAGTTCTGTATGCACAAATAAATAAATCTTAAAAGAAAAATCTCTAATACAATGTTCAGTTCATGTTTCCCTCTCACTAGAAACTTTTAAGTAAAAGTTCAAAAGACATGTTTGCAAGCAGTTTTACTTCACTTCAGCTACCTTGCATATGATAGGGTTTATTCTAATGTCTTTTCTTTTATGAGTTAGAGTTGCTGGTGCCTACCTAGCAGGATTCAGAGGTCTCAGAAACTGTAACTTCAATGCTGGAGGCAGGAAAAAAAACTTTTGGATAATTTTTATTTAAGACAATTTGTTTAGAATTGGGTAAATACTTCCAAACACTCTAGTTAATGCATAGCCAGAACTATATACCTTTGATACCCAAAGTTTACCTTGTGTAAGCTTTCACTCTCTACCAAAGCAGCACTGTAAGAATTTCTACTGTCTTCCTAGTACCTATTCCCACTTATAGAAATCATTACTAAACATATACTTAAAAACAAAACCATTATGAATGTAGAGAATGTATGTACATCTCTATGTGTGTGTGTACATACACACACACAAAGCCTTACAAAAAGGTTTATTATAGTCATATGTCCACGAGCAATGTATAAGAATGCTTGCTCCCCATTTCATCTGTCAGCTTGGATGTTATCTAGCATTTCAAGTTTGCTAGATAACATTTCCCTGACAGATGAAAAATGATATGCAACTATTTTACTTGACCTCTTTTTAATACTACTTAGCTACTGTGTTTAATTTCATGAATTTAAAAATTAAATAGTTTAAAAAATTAGTATTATAATAAAAAGAAAGCAAAGATGAGGAAAGGCAGGGGTATTATTATATATAAACACCTACCATGTGTTAGCTCACGGAATATATAACATTTCACCAAATAGTCACAACTATTCTATGAGTTGATACAGTTCAAATTTATGAAAGGGGAAACTGACATGTAAGACATTGAGTGATCTCTCAAAGGTCTTATAGGTAACAAAAGGGAGTGAAACTGAACTTGAGTTTAACTCCAAAACCCATGCACTTCTACTAAAACCCTTATACTATTGGATAGGGAAAAAACTATTTAGAATACTTTATAACCAAGCCTACCAGGATATGATCATCTTTAAACAAGAACTGCAACAGAAAACACACTTTAAAGATAAACACTAAAATACATACTTTCATATACTTGAAAATCAAGAATTCACCAAAGCTGCATTAAGTTGCATAAAAAAATTTAAAGAAAGAGAACATGAAAATCAAATTAACAAGAGCTTTCTATCACTAGACAACAAAGTGAGATGGAATTCATAAAATTTGAAACAAAAAGGTTTAGAGTTAACATTAAATCTTCCCTGAAAAACTGATTTTGAGATAAATACCTTCTTGCAGTACATCTTTTAGAGTTATCCTCTCCCTTGATATTGCTATATCCTTCACCTTGGCTTTTGCTTCCAAAAGGGTGACACTTCTCAGGTCATTCTTCTCTATCCTCAAGGTGGGATAACCTGAGGAGCCAACAAAGCCAAACCAAGAAATATAAATACCCTTATTATGGCCTCATGGTAGTCAACTAGTTCAGTTAGCATCTCAGGACTAAAGTCACAGGAATTAATAAATAAATACAATCATAAAAGGAAAAGGTAGATCATGAACAGAGAGGATTACATAGACAAAGCAATTTAAAGAAACATTTTTTCATCTACTATAAAATCTTAAAAATAGTAGAAATTAAAATAAGAAATACTTAAAAATACTACTACCATCTCAACTGTCTTTCAACCAAATGAAACAAGCTTTCATTCACAGAATTTAATTTAATCCTTTTTATGGGCTGTTTTTCTCCCAGAAGATTTTCTAACATGGTCTTCTAACAAATGAACTTTTCAAATGTGAACCAAATCAAGCCATGTAATTATCACCAAGTCAAGACTGGACTTGTGACCTATTGTTTATCTTGATGATTATGTTATTATTTGTATGGTTAATGATTCCAAATTATGTCCAAATTATACTCTAAGAACATTTATTTGCCTCCAAGTATCTACAAGTTACAATGCAAAAATCTCATTAAATTCTTATTTAAAAAAAAAAAAGGAAATTAGGTCCCATTCTCTTGAATCTCATGGCAGCTAGCTTCCTATTATGGCTAGAAAATAAAGTATAAAGTCTTATGATGGTCCCTAAGAATACCAAACAACACATTAAATTCAAAGTTTCTGTTTCATACACTTCAGTGGCTTACTCTAATCACCTGAAAATCTTCCTTCTGAATCTCTATATAAGTTGATTTAGTAGCTCCTTTAACAGAGTTAGTCTATGGAAAGCCACCCAAATCAAATCTAGTTCTAGCAATTAAACTTTAATTTTATTTTTAATACCCTGATTTTAGAATACTTCATTCAAAATTCTGGAAAGCCAAATTTGAATATCAAGGTTAATTCAGTAGATGTTAGACACCAATCATGTACATAGAACAGTACCCATATCTCCCAAGTACTTAGCCACACAGTACTACTGATAGACCATAACAACTTTGGTAAATCATCTTTAGAATTAAATTAACTCTTACTGGTGATAGGAGTTGCATTGTTGGGTGTGTCAGCTCTCAGATACTGAGTCGTCTGTGTAGAAGGCTGAGACAGCCCTTGGGAACTACTGCTGGCACTGATGCTGCAAACAATTTTTAAGAGAAAATAACTGGCGAGTCAGCTTAAATGAGAAATTTCCCTTTCCATACATATAAAATGCACACAGCTATTATAACCAGTCTAAAATTTTGATGGAGATCATAACAACACATGAATCTTTATCACAAATGTTCTATATTGAAATTTTAAGCTACCTTATAATGTATAACTTTTTTTACTTTCTATCTCCAAAATCAAGCAGGTTCATCTCATGAAAGTCATTAAAGAATGTACTAGTCCTCAGACATCACAGATAGCAGTCCTGAGCCTCACGCAATGACACACTGGGTAACTGTAAGGATCATCTCTTAGAAAAAGAGCCTGAGCCATTCAACTAGATTGTTTTTAAGAAAAGGTACAGAAAGGGCTCTTTTAATGATGGTCAAAATCCAAGTGGCCTGCAAATGAGGAAATAATAAATCAAAAGTGTTGATGTGCTTAAAGCTTGGAAAGTCATTATCATTCAAGTTTATTTAATCACATAAATTTGGCTTCTTTTTATTTCCCCTATACCACCATTAGAATTTATGAAAGTTATCATAAACCTCTAGTCTTTGAAACATGATACCATATTCTTGTTCTTCGAAATGCAGCATTAAAAATAGAAAAGACAAAAAAAAATTCTGTAATAATACAGAAGATGGAAGATTCATGTTCACTTTTAACTCTACATTTGAGACTGTTGCAAATTAGTGTCTCTCAAATGTGTACTTTTGCCTTTTCAGGACAACAGCCTTATTCCACGTTACTCTTGAGCACAATCCAGGTCTACTGTCTTTACTCTTGTAAATGTGCAACAGTGGAATATAAAGTACAGAAATTCAGCAGGAAGAAAGAAATCACACAAGAGGATGTCAACCTTCCACCCTTCCCTGAGTAGGATCAGCAGAGCCCAATCAGATTTCCTGACTTTCTCAGACATGCAAAGTCTTTTAACTGACCACGCCCCTCACAATAGTTCTCTATTTTCAAAACCTAGTGATAAAAAAACAGAATTTTTTAAAAGCTGCTATTCAAAGAACTGAATTATATGAATTTACATGAGTAGTGGGCATGGGGGGAAGGAGTACAGTAAAGAGATAAAGAGCATAAACCATGAAATCAAAACTGCTAGCACTGCTTTTTATTAGTTATATATCTAGGGAAAACAAAACATTTTGGAGTCTCAAATTCCTCATGGATTTTAAAGAATGTAATATTAGTTCCTGAAAAGGTTGCTACAATGATTACGTGAAAAGTGTATAGGCGAGGCATTCAGAACAGTGCCTGGTATTCAAACATACATTCATAAATTATTATTACTAATTATTTTATTACTAATATTATGCATTCCCAATCTCTAGATTATAAAGGAATCATGAGGCATCTGTCTTTGCAGTTTTCAAAGATCAGTCTAGAAATCAAAGCTGTTAAAAGTCCATGAGTCAGAAATGAGGACAGAAAACAAGCATTACATCCCCAAAGAGGTAGAGGAAAGACTTCAGTTTACATATTTAAAGGGAGATTAAAAACATCTACTTCCCCAGATTTCTGTGAGGTTCAAATTGTATAATAAATGTGAAATATTGCCTACATCACTGCAGGTTGAAAAAAATGCAGAGACCTCAAATTATCTACCAGAAATTGTGCTTATCTTCATTAAATGAACAATAGGTGGCACTGTAGTACCACATCAGGAAGACACTGGGGATTACAATGGTGGAGATGAAAAAAATGCACAAAATGAAGTGATGTGAAAAAACATATTAAAAATTAAAAAAGACACTGGGCATACAATGATATAATGAGTACGTATACATCAATTTTTCATTCGTTCAACAGATATTTCGGGGGGTTGTACAATTAGTAAAGCCCTCTGAAGTGTTAAAACAATCCTCTTTGAAACCACAGATTTACTATTATGAGAAAAGCAAGGAGCAGTAGGGGATCTTCCTTAGCACCTCATAAAGTCAATTTTTATTTAGCTACATCACAAGAGGTGGAAAATTAGACAAAAATGTACATTTACCAGCACTTAATAGTTTAAAACCAATTTAAATAAATTACCTCATTTGACTTTCATAAGCAAGTAAGAATAGGCAGGGAAATATTAACATTATTTTAGAGTCAAAGATAGAATTTTGGGCAAAGGTCATTTTCCTTCAGACAGTTCACATTTTGTTTTTATGTGTAACTTATTTACTTATTCATTCAAAAATATTTATTTAGTTGTTTACTACTTGCCAGGTACTGTACTGGGTGCTGAGGGCACAGCTGTGAACATAACAAGCAAAGATCCTCCCTTTGTGAAGCTGACATTCCAGTGGGAACTTCTTGTTTAACACTGGCCTCATCCACACACACTATAAAACCCTATGAAGCTAGGAAAAGTACCGTTTGTTCACTCCTCTCACCAGCACATTAGTCAATGCCTGGACAACAAGTCCCAAGTGAGTCCAACTAAGCCTCAGTCAGTACTCAATTAACACTTACTGAATAATCAATCAGTCAACTGAGAAAACCATACTTCTAGGAGTAGAAAAACATAAACCAAAGACTGGTCACTTCTGATAATGAGTTATTGATATATATTCAAAGAGACAAAGAATTATTGGTGTTACAAATGTTTTTCCTCTCTTATTCTTCATTCAATATCCACTCAAGAGATAACCTATTAGGCACTGACTACAGGAAACAAGTAAGAGAAATAAAGGAGGCCTTGTCACCAGTAATGGGAAGGGTGACTGTGTAGACGAGATAATGCAAACAGAATATATTGGCAAATAACAGTTCAAGTACGACATGAGAGGAACAAACTAGGACAGGCTCTACAGTATGGATCAATCCCTCTGTGGAAGGAGGTTAAGTGTGAAAGTGAGAAAAAGAAGCATCGCCTCTCCAGGATAACTCTTCTGGCATAACAAGAGACTGAAAATCAGATCAAATTATATTGTCAGAGGCAGGTAAACTACAGACTGGGTTCCACTATGCTGCTATGAATACATCTCATGTAGCTTTATTCTCTGCCACTGAAGATGCCCTGTTAATAACAGGACTCCTGAGTGCCTAGAACTCTCTAGCCTTAGTCTATCATTACTAGAACATACAACTTGCTAGAAGAAAAAAAAAAAAGGCATAGTAATGATACTTACTATACAGCAGGACTTTGTTCTAAGAATTTACAGTATTTTTCATTACAACTTACACTATAACATTCCTACTAAGTACAGACCATTATTATCTCTGCTTTATAGCACAGAAAAATGACTCTATCTAGACCATAAAGATAACAGTCAGAACTCAAACAGAGGCGCTGTGGCTTCAGAGTCCATGCTCTCAACCAGTAGACTATGCTCTGATAATACATGATGCTATAAAGTGTTGCTTTATTTTTTTTTAAAGATGTATTTATTCATGCATACAAGAACTGGGGGATAGGCCAGAGGTGCACCAGAGGCAGAGAGGGGAACAGAACAGGCAGATTGACTGAAATACACTGCTGAGGGGAGCAGTGGGCGAGGCACATGGGTCACCTCCTGGCTAGGGATCAAACTCATGCTGTAGTGGCTGTGGGTAGCCTCACAGTGCTGTGTCTTAACCTCTTGCACCACCAGGGAGGCATAAAATGATGCTATACCTCACAGAATATCTGGAAGCCTTCACCAGAAAACTAATGGCTATTAATTCATAGGTGGTAACAGATGATTTTAGTATGTGCCCCAAGGATTCTAAAGTTCTTGCACAACTCTGGCCTTTGTAGGATCACAGCCCTAGCATACAAACAAACACTGAAGGAAAATGCAACCCTATCTCCATACCAAGAATGACTTCTAAACACCACACTCTTCAGTGATCCCACTAACTCTACTAGTATCCACTCTCAAAGTCCTATCAGATTGTTCCTGTTAACTTCATTTCCTGCTCAGTAGTTTCCAAGTGCCACGTATTCCTCTATAAGAAATCAAAATTTAATTTCACCACCCCCAAATACATAAAATGTATTCTGAAGCACATCACCCCTGTATTTCTCATTCATTCTTATTCCCTTTTCTTTCTATGCTTTGGTAAAGAAAGTAAAACAGCGGGGACAAAAAGCACTTAGGGGTGGGTATGAAATGCAGCCGGGGTTCTTTCTGCTTGTGGTTTTGCTTATGCCACAAGTATGTAGACCCACTGTCTGTATGACATTGCAGTAGGTCTAGGGATTCAGCAACTAACAAAATGCACTGCTCCCTAATTGGATAAAGGTTACTTTTCAGTAGAAGACAAAAAAGGATTATAGAAGGAAAAAGTAAAATAACTGCTGCCCCCAAAATAGACAATGTTGGAAAAGCAGTGAGCCTTGGGAGCAAAAGGAATACAGGAGCAAGTGTGCTAAAGGGCAAGGTTTAGGGTAAAAGTGAGGACTAAGTAATCATTTTTCTGGAACAGAAGTAAGGATATGGTAAGAAAGAAAGATTCAGAGACAACAGGAGCTACATCTCCACATAAAGGCAGGCACTGAAAGTCAAGTGATGAAGCAGGAAGTGTCTTTAATCAGCAACTGGGAATCACCCAAGAGGGAAACAAGAGCTGTTGTCTGGCAAAGAAACCTGACTATTTTCCCTCTTTCTCTGTCCTGGCTACAGGTCTTCCCTGTCATGTCTGACTCACCCGGGCTGGGACAAGCACCTTTTGCATTCCCACAGTATACTAAACATATCACCATCATCAAATTTATAAACTTTTATAATTATGGGTTAGTGGCAAAGATTAAATACGTGAAGCCATGAGGTATATTATTAACATTTTTATTCCCAGCATTTAACATAATATCTAACCTAGGATATCACCAAGGCTACATATCAGAATCATACAGGAACCTTTAAGAAAAATACCATGCCCAGACACTACTATACACCAACTACATCAGAATCTCTGGAAAGTGGGACCCAAGTACTCATGTTTAAAAAGCTTCCCCATGACTTTGCAAGCAAACTGAGAACCCATGGTTTAAATCACTGCAAGTTACTAGAAGAATGGCTGGCTAAAAGGCTGCCTGGCTGGTTGGATAATGATGGTGGGATAAAGTAGGAGAAGAAACAGGGTTATGTTTAAAAGGTATTAAGAGTCTAGAGTAGAAGTCGTATCAAAGGGGTTGAGTAAAAAAATTAATCTCCGTTTCTTTAACACCAACTAATAAATTATTTTTTGACTTCACAAATTAAAAAACAAAAATCAGAGAAACCTAGTGGTAGTAATCACAAAGACAGTAATTTTTCCTTTGGCTCTGACTCAGTTATGCCCCCTCCTTCCCCTCCACTACCACGTGCCACTGTGTACATGGGTGTGTGCAGACACACATATAAATGCAAGTAACTGCTTTTATTTTTTTTCCTTCCCCAAAATATAATGAATACCTGTCATCCAGTTCAATCCTTTTCATACTATGAAGGTGCAAAACAGCTAATATTATTGCTACAAGAAATATTACTGCACAGCAAACTCCTACACTGATATAAAACACACGCGTAGAAGTGGTTGGAGCTGCATGTACAGGATCATCTGAAATAAAAAGGAAAAACACATCAAGCTTTTAAAATAAATATATAAATTGACCAATATACACAATGAGTTTCCTTTCTTGATAAAAAATTTTCATATTACATGTCCATTCTTTGATAGAATTAGTTACCAGTGTATGATGTAATTCACACAATTTTTAAAATGTTTTTGTTGTAGCTTGAAATAAAGGATTTAAACAACATTTTTGGCTAAAAAAGTATCATAATCATATGCAAGTGGAGTATCCATACAGCAAACTCTCTGTAGCAGTGCTAGTCAACAGAACTTCCTGCACAGGTAGGCATATTCTACAGGGCACCAACACAGCAGCCACTGACCTCCTGTGCTATTATCAAGCACTAGAAATAGCTAGTAGCAGTGAGGAACTGAAGTTTTATTTCACTTTAAGTAATTAAAAGTTCGGCTGGCACCTGTTGCTAGTACCACAGTGCTGATCTATACTTTCTATTTATTCAATAGTGATACCTGTAGTAGAGAGGTCAGATTACTGTCTTGCCAACGAACAATGATTCAACATACAAAAGGGACACACAAGTTAGAAAAATAAACTTCATCTTTCTTGCTCTTTTTTAAAAGATTTATTTATGCATGCACGCAGAACAGGCCAGAGATGCGGAGGGTGAAAGGATTCACCAGAGACAGAGTGCGGAACAGAAAAGGCAGATCCACTGAAACACACTGCTGAGGGGAGCAGCAGGCGGGTCAGGAGGGGTCTGCTGCGCCATGTGGGTCACTGGCAGGGGATCGAACTTGTGCTGCTATGGCTGCAGACAGCTTCATAGTGCTGTGCTTTAACCTACTGTGCCACCAGGGAGGGCCCCATATTTTTCTCTTATAAGATAACAAGTTATTTCACTTACCTGTTTTTAAAGAGAAAAGCAGGAAAATAATACAGAGCTCATCAGCTAATAATCAGTTTTATGCCATTCAACAGAGAGAAAGCATCAACAATTAAAGTAACTCAAAGACATGGACACAGATAGGTAAAGACACACATGAAATGAGGAGCGAAAAAGAAGAAATAGAAGCATTTTCAATTCAAGTGGGTTTTTGCAAGTGTTTATAACATAATTTTTAGAAAAACCTGAGCGCTTATTTTTACTTTAAATTAGATGGGAAATCATTACAAGGAATGATATACATTATCATTCGTGGAGACACAAATGACTGCACATGCTGTGTAAAGAATGCTATGTAGGCAGCAAGAACAGAACAAAACAGGGAACAAGTTTTAAAAAGTTACCACCCACAGTAGGCCAAGACAGACATAGCTGTGGACTGGGCAAGAGCATTATAAAGAAAATGAGAAATTAATGGATTAAGAAGCAAAATCAACAGGCCTTGCTAATGAATGGCACTGACATAAAAAGGGCAAAGAGGAATGAAAACTTTGGCTTAAAAAATTAGGTGGACTAGCTGCTCTCCTGCCCACTCATGACATACATACATCATCTCCCTTTCCTTCTTCTAATATCACTGAACCTTTTGGACATATATATATAAAAGAACTAGGCAGGTAACAGTACTGCTACAAAGATAAAGAAATAGAGAGAATCAAGAGCTTTGCTCTCATGAAGATCAATATGAAGCAGCTGGTACAAATTAACATGGTGATGTCAAATTTGACAAAAATCTAAAGTTTGGAGCTCTGGGGATCAGTCAGGATAAAAGTAAAAACTATAGCATTCAAACATAGGAAAATAAAATTGCTTTCTAAAATTTAAATTTTCAATCAACAAATAGTAAGTCATAACAAATTAATACAAGAGTGAATGGCTTCTAAGGCAGCTAGATTTAACTGTAGCTTGAAAGAAGGCCACCAGCTACTGAACCTTAGAAATGATTGGTCCCCAGAGCTGATGCTATCCAGGTATACTCCAGAACACATACGAGAAAGACACTCCAAAGCTCCTTGCTCTATTACCTATAAATTCCCATTTCACCTACCACAACCTGGCTACCCTTCTGGTCTCAGATGAGAGTCACTTTCCTTCAAAGCTGTCCCTTGCTCCATCAGAAGAGGTTCGATATTTCTGCTGCTCAGGAACTATGTGATGTCCTACCACAGCTGACATGCTATGTTTTTGTCACTGATAATTGCCTGTTGATCTCCCTCACTATATGATAAACATCTGCTTTGTTCATGGTTTAATTCTCTGCTATAATCACACTACCTGGTACATCATAAACTCCCAGTAAACCCAGCTGGCTGGATGCATAACTAGGAAAGGAAGGGGAGAGGGATTGAGGAAGACACAAGGAGAGACCAACAATATGCAATATTCTATTCTCTTTCTGAGAAGTAACATCCTATCAGCCTAAAAGAAATGACTAAAAATCACAAGAATTTTAAAAGTAAACCTAAGGAGTTGATATTTTTAAAAATACTACTACATAGAGAGAAATCTTAATGAAATATTCTAAAAAAGTTGACAATATCTCATATTATTTTTCCATCAAAAAAGGTCTACTTTGAGATGGAAAAAGGCACAAAATGATGTAAAAATAAACTATTATATTACTTAAATTAAAAAGGTCCACTTTGAGATATCCAGATACTTTGCACCTCCTGAGGTGATGAAAAAGATAAAACAGGAAACATATACTACCATGTGAATTATTCTTGCTAAGAGTTGCTCCTAAGCCTAATCAAGCATGGAATCTAACTACCAGTTTCTAGAAGAGACAAAACCATGCCAAATAACACAAAGATGCTGATGCAGGGAACTCTATAAGATAAATGACTCAAAGTCTTTAGCAAACAGGTGAAATTAAAAGGAGGTGAGATGGTTTCTAATCAATATAAAACACATCAACCAAATAGAGTATACATAAGCTTCATTTAGATCCTGATTTGGTTGGGGGTTCAGAGAACTATAAAAAGACATTTTTTGACAGATTAATTTGAAGTGAACAGGTATTTTAAAGAGCACCACACTAACTCTTCATGGGTACAAATGCTATGAGACTGGGGGGTACATCAAGACACTCTCCCTTCTGACCCACCTCCCCACCCGAGAAAGGAAGGCCTCACTGGAACATCATCGACAAAACGCTGATCTTATGCAAGCAGGGTGATGATCACATGGGGGTTCGTTGGAGCATTCCCGCAATTGTTGTGTAGTTGAAATACACACAACTCCTATCTTTTTTAAAGTTTACTTTCATGAGAAGAATCTTAATAATATTTTTAAATAATACCAGTAAAGACATTGCTATTAAAAGTATATCAGCAAAAGCTGAATCATTGAAGTGCCCATGTTAGAAAAGGAAAAAAAGAAGCCACAGTTATATTATCTAAACATAACCATTACCAAAAAATAAACACTTATTTTGAATTTTGGCTATTAGGTTTAATCATGTAGTTTCTTTTAAGTTCACATTTTTCATTTGGATGAAATGAGCTAAAGGTTAGGTTCAGATTGCAGATTTTCTCAAGTTTTCCTAAACAGATGAATATCTTACTTTATATTTCATGGCCATACTTTAGTAGTGGCCATTTGAAATGATGTGATATAAATACTTGAAAAAATTTTAGATCACCTGTTATAAAATATATGTAAACTTAACTTCATAAAATTTTCAGTATTTTGTAATTTCATATAACTATACAATCTACAAGATGTTGGTGAAGTAATAACACAGTGTCATTTATCTTTAGGAAATCACAAGCCTCCAAATTCCACACAATCATGTTCACTTATAATCAGCCTTTTTCATCCCTATTAATGGAGAAAAATGAATGCAACACTTACAAATAGTTCTGCTAGTGTTTTTGTCCAAAGGTGAAGTTTTTACTTCTTCAAGTTCTGAAGTAAAAAGGAGATAAGATACTTTAGAAATTCTTTTCCAAGAAAACCCTCTAATAAAGTAATTATATTTTCTGAATTTTGTGTTCTACCAGAACACTGCCTGAATAACTAATAAGGCACTCATTGCAAGATAACAAATGCTGCATTACTATCTGGTAAACATCAATCAACAGCATTTGCCCCAGTGTGTAGCTTTTAGATGCTCATTGAAAAAGTGTTTCAGTGGTCAACATGGGAAAGTCCCATACTATATATAGCCTCTTGGAAACTCAGTAGCACACAGTGCACAGGCTCTAAGGAGGGCCAGAGTAACAAATTTTATTTGATCTAGTAGTTCCTACCTCATATGATAAAGAACTTTTCTTGCCAGTAATATACATTAACATTTTAAAAAAAGATTTATTTAAGTATACAGGAGCTGGGGTACCAGCCAGAGGTGGACGGGCGGGGGTAAGAGAATTCACCAGAGACAGAACAGGCAGATCTACTGAAATATGCTGCTGAGGGGAGCTGCAGGTGGGTCAGGAGATGTCTGCTGCGCCATATGGGTCAGCTCCCCAGGGACTGGATGCGTGGGTGTGGATAGCTTCATAGTGCTGAGCTTTAACCTGATGCACTACCAGGGAGGGCCCTGTGTTAACGTTTTTAAATGTAATAATATGGGAAATCAAATACATAATTACATAGGGCCACCAAATAAAGAGGAGGTTCTTATTACACTTATGTCTATAATAGAATAGAAAACTGCACCAAAGAGAATTAGAAGTCTTCATTTTATTCCTAGCACAAATATGAACCAGCTCTACCTATATAAGCTTATTAAATCAGTCACTTTACCTATCTAGAACTTAAAGTTAAGTGGGTTGTACTCATAATCTTTAAGGAGAACACATACATTCTTTGATCTGTAATATATCTAATACTTTCCTATATCTAGAACAATTTCTTGAATTGGATTTTTCAAAGCCAAAAATGATTATAGTATTTATTAAGAACTCACTTATGATGAGTACTCAGGTTAGATTCAACTGATGTATTAAAAAAAAACACACACACACACAACAACAACAACAACTCTCTGAGTCTCTGATGCAGAGGCCAGGACCATTCTACATTCTACAGGTAAAAATACTGAGACTCAGGTTAAGTAACTTGTTCCAATGACCTAGATAGAACAGAGCTGTGATTTTAACCCAGGCTCATAGATTCCTCTGTGTAACTGTAGCTTTATAAGGGAAACATAGTAATACTCAGTTACTCAAGGGTTCCCACCAGAATTACCAGCTTACTTTAGCACTTTAGCACTTTAGTACTATGTTACATTGCTGTTGGGAAATGTTCAAACAATTCTGGCTTAGAGTATACAGAGTCTCCGCAGATCTGAGTGAGAATTGGCTATAAGCTATCTGAAGATTAACTACAAATTCCAAGTGCTGTTTTTTTCTCATTTGCAACTATATTCAAGACTTGGTGATAATTAAATCTGTAAAAAGATGACATATCTAATTTTGACATTCTTACATCTATATAAAAACACACATTTTGGTAAATAAATTCCTTACTTTTGTAGCACATTTTCCTTCTTTTAAAATTTAAGACTGTAAAATTTTTTGAAGAATTTACTGTCAAGTTGAGCTGCATAAGTATCATAACCTCAGAATCTACTTTGCCAGTACAGGAAAGTTCGACCCGAAACACTGTTTAAAACAAAATGATAATAGTTATGTATAAATCAACATTACTATTCATTAAATATCTTAGAATTATTTATTTTTACTCCAGTAAAACTAAAAATGCATTTACATAAAATACTAAGCAGGATCTTCCTTAGAGGTTAGTGGCAGACCACAGCTTCTTCAGACATTAGGTATTTCACTCATTATTAAAACAAACGTTAGCATTAAAAAATAAACCAAGGCACAGCGATAGTTATTCTCAACTTTTGTTCAAGATTTTTAACACATTGCTTTGTCTCATCATATTGTATTCCAACAATATAATGCTATAGAATCATAAGGCAAACGCTGCTTACTTTGCTAGTCATGTCAACAATAGTTAACAACAAAAATTACTTGATAAAAAGGACATACCATCAAAATGCAATTATGTGCTGTTCTGAATGAAAAGATTAAATATAAACCTTAATGAATCTGATAAATTCTTAATTACAAATTTTAAAAAGTAAAAACCTTTCTGAATAGAAACTGGCAATTTTATCAATTACTATAGGAGCAGAATGACATCATTTTTTAAATCATTCCATTTAAGGTTCTTTTCCTACAAACACAGACTAAATCATTCTATCATCTATATGAATGTGTGAGAAATACGGACCTTTACAAATATATTTACTGATCCATGAAATTAACCAGCCTTCCTCTGTTTTCTTAAAGTGCAGTTTAATGTATGTCATTATTAACAGTGAATTAAGACTACCAGGAAAAGTTCTACACACTGTGGCTTATATTTTCAAAATTCTAGCAGTTTCTAGTATCGTAAAATCTTACCTTCAAGGGACCTTTCTCAAAAGAAGTTAAATTTGTATAAACGTGATTTTTAAATCATTTACTCAGTCACTACTGTGAGCCATCAAGTATGAGATGCTGCACTAGGCACCAAGAGAGCTGAAGAAAACAGCTCCTGCCCACTAGGTGGCCACAGGCTAGTAGGCAGAAACTAACACAGCGAGTTACAAGATAAAATGACCAGCTCAGAAACAGTAAACACATGTTTCTCTGGGGCGGGTAAGAGTTAATAATGAGAACAGGAGACAGAACAGGACAAGGTGGATTTTGGGTCTTCCAGAGTGAGAGTATGTATGAGTTCATAAGCAGAAAAGAGGAAAAGATCGTGTCAAACAGAGGCCGGCGTGCGCACAGACAAGGCTATGAGAACCGCACACAGTGCCAGGGAAGCGCAGGAACAGACAGCCGCACAGGGCAAACACAGCACACCAGCCGGGAGCCTGCAGTGTATTCAGGCAATGGGTGTTGGGGCTGATGGGCTTGATGTCACATGATCAGGTGTCAGTGTGCAACATCATTAGGCCGCATTGTGGTGAATAATGGAACAGGAACAAGACTACACACAGGGGCCCACGTGAAGGGCACTGCCAGTCAGCAGTGCAAAAAAGAAGAAAAGGAAGAACTGAATAGAGACAGTTCTAGATGAGATGGATAAGAGAGAATGATTGCAAATATCACTATTTACAAAAACGACTTTTCAAAGTATTTATGTATCTTCTGCCTATCAAGTAAGACACTATATATCAACATTTAAACTGCTGCTGGGGAAATGTGGATAACAGCTGGAAACAGTATGTTAACTCTACCTGAGACTCACACTTACCTGATAAAGTGCGTGGAACTTCCCCTTGGGCAGAAATATTAACCTGGGGCATGTCCATAGCCACAAAGTTGTCTACTTGGAATCCCAGCTTATATTCAACCTATAAATTAGAGAAACAAGTGAATCTACAATAGCAGAAAAAAGAACAGCTTGACTTAACTGATTAGCTCGCTGACTAATTAAATGCCATAATCCTTTCACATGTAAAAATAATGTAGCTATTAAAAAAATCCATTTGGCAGAGACAACCATGAAATTTTCAACTGGATAAAAATTCAGTCCATTAAATGTCCAGAAAACCACACATTCCTGATAAAACCTGTCATCTAGGATTCAGAAATCTTACTGAGGGTTACACAGTCATTGAGAGCGGAGCCCTGAAAAGGAAGCTAGGAAGAGCTAAAAGGCTGAGATGTGAAATTCACACACCAGGAATAGTCACTGATGTCTTCTTTGTTGCTGAGCCAAGCTCTGAAGGCCTGCATGTACTGGTGAATGAAGGTGTGTGCTCTACAACCCCGGATCCCACAAATGATTTCAAGGCATGAAATCCTCACAGAATATCTAGACCACATTCTCTTATCTTGCTTTTACCACTAAGAAAGTTCATGTTTGGATATCTATCTAACCTCTGAATCTATTTCTCAAATCTATCTAATTCTCTGAAAGAGAATTAACTAAGAAAACATCCCTGGACCCACTACATACTAATGCCTGGCCTACACAGCCTGGCCTACACAGCCTCATGGAACCAAAAAGCATTAATCAACAAATACACCCTGTTCCTAGAGAGATGTTCATGGAAGAAAAAGCTCAAACGTAAAGCAATGGAGCTTCCACCGTAAGACTTTGAAGTAGTATTTCATGTTACTCTTTGTTCTGCTCATGGAGTCTTGATAAGAATGGTGTCCCTCTCCCAAGCACAGCTTTGAGAGGGAGCTAGAAATAGCAGAAGCCAAGGGCGATCATTCTTTAAGGAACTTGTACAAATATTAAAGTAGGCATATAAGGGATTTACTTGGTAAGTACACATTCAAAACAAAGGAAAAGTTCTGTCTGTTTGCTACACAAATGACTTGGTGATCTCCTGGCTTAAAAGAGTGGACTCTGACCCTAGCATACCACCCTCCTGTCCCTGCCACCAGGAGGTGCTAGAGCACTATATAACCCAGCAAGTTTGGGACAAGAATGAGAAATCTTTCCAGAAACACTAACTAATTTCAAGAAAATGCATGGAATATCCCTGTGTTCATGCTATCTCTGAACAGGACAATACACAAAGAGCAAGTGCACAAAAGAAATTCATACAACAACAACTGAATTTGGAACCCAGAGAAGCTACGACCCTTAGATAAATGGTTAACTTTTCCAAGTTTGAGTTTTGGTAAATTGAGGGGAAAAACAACACTCTGAGTCAGTGTGACACAGGTCCCCCCTGACAAAAGAGACCCCAGTGTCATCAGCTACCACTCCCTACTGCCCCACTGCTCTTCCCCATAAGCACAGCCTACTCTCAAACCCAGAGATTCTGACATCAGCCCTCCTGGGTTCTGCCAACATGCTGCAGTCCCGGCCCCCATCTTGGCAACCACAGAATTCTAAACACACTCAGTCCCACGCCCTCACAGCCTCTTCTCAAATATCTTTACGCCTTCTCTCTCAACCTGACTTTCCTCAGAACTCAACTCTTTTCCTGCCCATGGTGCAGTTCCTACAATACCAGAAACAGAATGAGAAAACAGAGGTTGGGTTCTTTCAGGATCATTTAGTCCTTTCTAGACACCCATTCCCTACACTCAGTCCCCTCCCTACACTCTGAAACTGTCCACATCTACTCATCATCTTTCATGCCAGCGGCCTTGGCTCTTCACAGTTTCCAGTCATCTCCCTGTTACCACATTTTCACCTCCTGTTGTTACAGGGAAACCCCAATTCACATGAGGGCTGGACCCCTGACTGTGGATCCTTATACTGTCATCTTCAAATTCAGTATCTAGTGTTCCTACGTATCAAAGAACTGCTCCATAACCCAAACAAATGCAAAAATACCCCTCTATCAAAGATCTCATCATTACCACTGACTCCTGAAAAACCAGTTCTGTCTCCCTCACTTTATTCAATTAACATTTATGAAGCACATTTATAAGCCCAGGGTTGTGCTCATAGCTGGAATGCAATGACCAATTAAACTGTTTCCCTCCTCTCCAGTCCAGTCAGTAATGGTTTTATTTTCCTATATAACCTGTGCCCCAAAGAAGAAAATGCTCCTGACATATGGATATTCTCAACTGTTTCACTCCCCACACCTTTAGAGGGCACCTCCACATCCTGGTAGCCCCTCACTCTACTCCTGCTACCCAGCACTGCTGGAGAAAATGACAGCCCAGGAGAGAAGGGGACTATCGCACAAAGCTGACACTCCCCCCACCACTACCACCAAGTTTGGTATAGTAAGCAATCCCAAGCCCTCTCTGTTCACCTCGCCTCAAACCTCACAGCACTGCACCACTTCACCGCTGCTCTTCCAGCTTGGACAATGGTATTGTCCCTTTCCGCTGGCACACAGGGAGCCCCTTTCTGCTCTCTTTTCAGCACCAGGCAAGCCTGTGCATGCTTCCATCCTTTATCCTTCAGTCCTGAAGAAGACTTATTCTTATCCTAATAACAAATCCTTCTCTTCCTAGCACACTAGAAGGTTCACACCACTTCACCACCAGTGGGGTCTCATCTCATCAGCCGGTCTCTCTCATTCTCCTTTATCTCTCCCACTTACCTACGTAATAATCTTATAGCTCTCAATTTAACAGAGTCAAAGCCAAACTATTATATTTCCCCACACTTGCTGTCACCTTTATTCTAAGTCTCAGTTACCATATGCAGAGGCACATAATCAGGGGCCAGAACTCCTAGAAAAACAGAGAAAGAGAATGGTGAAGGGGGTCCAGGGTCCAAGGTGCAGTGCTAAGGGTGGGGGCCAAAATTAGCACCTGAAGTATCTCAGTGTGATAATGGGGAGAAGGCAGAAGGGAGAGAAATGAGTTAGTGAATGGAGCAGGGCAGAGTAAGGGCATTGGAAGAGGGCAGTGTGGCAGCAGGTCTGAAAAAGCAAATTCTGTGACCAGGACAGCAGCCTGTTAGAGCATTAAGTATGAAAGCATGGAGGCTTGCCCTTTGTTGATTCCCTTTTTGAGAGTCCATTTAAACATCTGAGGCATTCACAAGACATTTCTCTTCTCTCTCTGAATTCTTTAGATATAAATATTAAAACTGCAGTTTTGGGGGTCAGAGGAAAATTGCCATCTATCAAAGTTCAATTTTTTTTACATGAAATCTCATGTGCCAATAATCCTTTGAAGAAACAGATCTGTTTTAAAGCTAACATTCACAACCTACTGGAACAAAGGAAATATGAACAGCAGTTATTTATCAGAAGAAAAGAATGAGCCAAAATACTTCAGAAAAGAAATGAGAGAAAATATAAATATTTAAATAAGCTAAAAAATAAACATTTTGGTAATCTTCCCTTACTTGGAAAGAAACAGCAACTACAAATAGACAACCAATGCATAAAGCCATTTCCTTCTGGAACAGAGTAGCACTTAAAAATGAATATACTTCCTACAGTCAAGTAGCTTTTAAATTCCTTGAAATTACCAGTTCTGCCTTTGTCATTGAAATCTCACTCTGCAGGGGATATAGCAGACTGGTCCCAATAGCTGTGGTAGGAACTCAGTCCAAGTTCCCTGCAGACCCTCCTGACAAAGATAAAAAGTTCTTGAAACCAGAGAACAGCTATGGGAGGAGGGTAGGGGTGGGAAATTCCAGATCATTATTATACAGTTTTGACTTTCAGTTATCTATCTGATTAGTGAAACTTAACAAATGCAGTTACATGTTCTTTTTTTTTTTCTGGATATCAGAGAATGTTCTAGAATATAAAAGAAACAAGCTGCTCAAATCCAGTAGTCTTTCTTTCTTTCTTTTTTTTTTTCCTGGAGTGTGTGGCCTCTTAAAAGAGAAGCAATACCAGAGTTCTCATCCCATCTGGAAAGGCAATTAACTAATGATATTTACTGACTACTCACCTCACTAAGGCAGTGTGACCAAGAACAAGACACTGACTGCTGCAGACTCTGAGTAGACTACAATCTGTTTGGCAGGGTGAAGCTGTCATGTAAATGTTGAAGAACAACATTATTAGCAAAAGCTTTTGATGTGTGAAAACTAATGTTAAATTATCTGCAATGTGAATGGACATGCTGAGGAGACTGGAGATCTTTGGAAGCAAATACTTCACCTCTTGCAGAATCTTAGAGGGCCAGAACTGAGAGTTTCTGATCAAGAGTTGGAGTTTGGGAGCTACAGCCCTCCAGAAAGCCATGCTGACACCCAAGAATCAACAGGATTGCCTCATCTCCTGCCCTGCTGTATTTATTGACTTTCCCACTGCGAGTCACTTACCTCCTGCTTCCTCCCCTCCTACTACCATACTGACTCCTTTCCCAATCTGGGTCTTTGTTTTTTCTCAGTAACTGAACAATATACCAAGCCACTTAGTAATACATGATAACACCCCTGAAAGGGAAAGTCCAACTCTACATGCAGTGAAATACACACAAAAGAGATGCTCATTCCACACACAGACTATCTCTAGAGGAGGAGGAGGCAGGAACCAGGGAACAGTGGTTGTGTCAGAGAAGGGGAACTAAGTGCCTGAATTGATAGAGGGTGGTACTTATTTTTCAACAGAAATCTTTTTATGTCTTTTGAGTTTTATACCATGCACTTATACTGCCAACTCTAATGATATGATTTTTATAGAGCTTGCCAAACAAATTGTGGTCTCCTCAGATGCAGGAGCTGTGTCTCATTTCTGATTAACTTAATCAAGTGTGTTAAAATCATCACAGAAATTAAGACCAAAACTTAAAGCTACAATGGTGTCAGAAGCTTGAAACCAGATTATAACACACACTCCTTAGTTTTTACTATAAAACATTTTAAGATATGAGATTACTACTTTGCTCTAATGTATAAATTAAATGTGTAATAGGGTAAGCTCTATATTCAATCTATGGATTGTGATCACTTTTCCAAATTTACAATTTCACTCTATTCAGAAGAGTAAAACAAGTGAATATATGTCACGTGAGGAACTCGGATCAAGTGTGCCCAGCCTATATGTATGCACACTTCTAGAAAAAGGAAATTTGCCACTCCCAAAGCAGCACATTCCAACTGTGAAAAAGTTCTAGCTGCTTAGAAATTCCTGTTACCTGAGTTGTACCCTGTACATCTCTCTTCCTGTGCAGTCAGTTAAAGAGCACTTACAGCCAAGTGCCAGGTGCTATTCCAGGTAGAGGGGACATAAAGAAAAATAAAAGGGGCTCCTACTCTTGAGATGCTCGGAATCTAGGAGTGGGACAGAAAGGAAAATTAAGATCTATAATAGTGTTAAATGTGCAATGAGGACTCTGAAGGTCCAAAGAGAAGGCACTGTGGATACAGAGAAGGTACCTGGCACAGCTGTAGGAGAGGGGACACTGGGTGTGAGCTTTATGAGATGGAGAGGAGTTAATCGGTAAAGAATGGGGGAGAGAACATTTCTAGTAGTTCAAACAGCAGCAATGGGACAGCACAGGGCAATCAAGAAATTGTCTGACATAATGGCACAAAATGATCTAGTTACACAGAAGGTAGAGAAGACAGATAAGAATCAGATCACAGTGGTCTCCTAAGAAATCAAAACTTCACGCTGGTGGAAACCAAGAGCCTTAGAACAATGTTAATATTATGATTTATAGTAATAAATATTTGATGTCCATTCCCATTGTTGGATAAAAGCTCCTAAACATCCCCTGAAATTTCTTAAGAAATGATTCATCATTGAAAGGTGTTTTGCTATGTTAATGAGGCGGCTTTCAGAAACCTGCCAGGAGGGGGAATAGTTAGAGGAGAAGCAACCATCTGACTATGAGGTTGGAATGTTCAGTCCTATCCCAAGCCTCCAGGAATGGTCAATGATGTAATCAACATGTCTTTATAAAAAGCTTCATAAAAATCTAAAAGGTTAGGGTTCAGAGAGCTTCCCAACTGGTGACCATATGAAGATTCATGAAGCCAGACACACTCAAGAGAGCGAGGAAGCTCTATGCCCTTTTCCCTTACCTTGCCTTATGTTTATTTTCCAACTGGCTGTTGCTGAGCTATATAGCTTTTTATAATCAATAGGTAATCCAGTATGAGTTCTGTGAGCCAGTCTTTCAAATTAATTAAACACAAAGAGGGGACTGTTAGACCCCTTACCACTGGTTATTTAGAAGCACAGGTGATATACCCTGGAATTGTAACTGGCATCTTAATTGAGGAGTTGGTGGAGGGAGTGGTCTTGTAGGACTGAGTCCTTAACCTGTGGGTTCTTATGCTTTCTCAGGGTAGACAGTGTCAATTCTGACAACTGAGCTGAATTGTAGGACACCCAGATGGTGCTTGATAGTCTGGGAAATCTCCTCTCACACAGTGGAACTAGGATTGGAATCTTACTAGGCAATTTTGCAGAAAGTGCAGCAAGAGGTCAGTCTGGAGGCAAGGAGGCCAGTTAGAAAACTTTAGTTTCCAGGTAAGAAACAACAGAGGCCCAAAGATGCAAATTAAAGATGAGGTCAGGAGAGAAGTAGACAATGAACTGAAAAGTGTAATTATGAAAGAGAATCAACTGGACTTGGCAGTGTAGGAGAAGCTAAGATCACCTTTAAGCTTCTCTTT